AACACCACCAACTTACCTCACAGACCTAGAGAAATCATTCCTAAAATTTATTTGGAACCAGAAAAAATCCTAGAATAGCAAAGGCAATCCTGGGCAACAAAGGCAAGGCAGGAGGCATTACAATTTCTCACTTGAAATTACACTACGATACTGTGATAAAATCAGCATGTTATTAGCAAAAAAAAAAAAAAAATAGACCTCAGGACTAATGGAATGCAGATGCTACAAACTACAAACACATTCAGCCATCTTGTCTTCAAGAAAGGGGCCAAACATGCTTACAGGAAGAAAGACAGCCTCTTTAACAAATGATGCTTGAAAGACTGGCTCTCTACATGCTGAAAAGTAAAACTACACCAAGGTCTATCACCATGCACTAGACTAAAGTCAAAATGGATTAAAGATCTGCACATCAAAACAGAAACACTAAATCTCCTGGAAGAGAAAGTAGGTGGAAATCTTGAAGACACAGAAGTAGGCACACATTTCATGAACAAAAATCAAACTGCATGGAAATACTTCAAAGAATTAACAACAAGGACTTTCTGTTGAGAAGTTTCTGCACATCAAAAGAAATTACCAACCCAGTGAAAAGAAAACCCACAAATTTGGGGAAAAAATTCACAAATAATCACTCAAACAGAGGTCTTCATCTAGAATTTATAAAAAACTAAAAAACATTAGGGCCCAAAACTTTAAAGACCCAATCCAAAAATGGGCATCTAGGCAAGGGCTCCAGACTCACTAGAAACCAGCCAGTGGTTCCGGATCCCTCCGGGTCGTCGCCTGGATGGCACCATGGACGAAAACGAGTTAATTGAATACTTTAAGTCTCAGATGAAAGAGGATCCTGATATGGTCTCAGCATTGGCTGCTATCTGGACTTTGCTGGAGTTCTTGAAGAGAGATAAAGGGGAGACAATCCAAGGCCTGAGAGCGAATCTCACCAATGCCATCGAGATGCTATGTGGTGCGTACTCCTGGGTGGCCATGTCCTCCAGTGGGGAGCTCTTCCTCCGCTTCATCAGCCTCACCTCCTTAGAGTTCTCCGACTACTCCAAATGTAAAAAGATCACAATTGAGCAGGGAGAGCTGTTTCTCAGGAGAATATACTTGTCAAAAAATAAAATCGCCGATCTGTGCCATACATTCATCAAAGACGGGGCGCGAATCCTGACTCACGCCTACTCCAGAGTGGTTTTGCGAGTCCTGGAAGCAGCTGTGGCAGCCAAGAAGCGCTTCCACGTGTACATCACGGAGACCCAGCCCGACCTGTCAGGTAAGAAAATGGCTAAAGCCCTCTGCCACCTCAACGTCCCTGTCACTGTGGTGCTGGATGCCACTGTTGGCTACATCATGGAGAAGGCAGATCTGGTCATGGTAGGCGCGGAAGGCGTGGTTGAGAACGGAGGCATCATTAACAAGATTGGAACCAACCAAATGGCCGTGTGCGCCAAGGCACAAAACAAGCCCTTCGACATGGTTGCAGAAAGCTTCAAATTCTTGCGGATCTTTCCACTGAACCAGCAGGATGTCCCCGATAAGTTCAAGTACAAGGCAGACACCCTGAAGTCCGTGCAAGCTGAGCAGGACCTGAAGGACGAGCACCCGTGGGTGGACTACACCTCCCCTTCCCTGATCACCCTGCTGTTCACAGACCTGGGCGTGCTCACACCCTTGGCAGTCAGTGATGAGCTCATCAAGCGCTACCTCTAGCTGCACCCTGCCACCCAGCCAAACTGGCTCATTTTTAACAGGCATTGTGGACAGTTTCTACATCATTAATACTGGAATATCTTTTATTCACAGCTCGGTCCCACCTAAAAATTTGTTCTAAAACCAAACCTAAACTTGCTTAATTTCCATAAACTTGTAGTTACTGTCCATTTCCAGAAACCCATTAGACTGTAGACTCCCTGGCCGACAAAAGCCTGTGTGTCCCCCAGCACATTTCACTAGCTTAAAGTGTCCACAGAAGTGACGCGCTGCAGGCAGCTATCCCCGCTACAGTCAGCGCCTCTGGCGCAGTAACAGCAGCTGGTCAGAGGCCTACACTTTTCTCTCATGTGAAGGTAGGAGACGAGCCTCAAGGAACCTGCAGCAGGGCCAGGCAGACAGTGCAAGGTGTGAGACACAGAAGGCCTGCGGGGCGAGGTTCACTACTCCTCCTGGAGTACTTGGAAACCTAGACCGTGTATCTATAAAAGATAGGAACTTCCCATTTTTAAGTTGGGTCCTAAACAGATTTTGAAATTATACTTGTGAACAGATTGAGTATCTTTTACAAATAAATTGTATAGAAGGAAAAAAATGGGCATCTGAGATGAATACATACTTCTCCAAAGAAGAAATACAAGAGGCAAATAAATACATGAAAAAATGCTCCACATCACTGGCCAATTGAGAAATGCAAATTAAAACAACATTGAGATACGATCTCACCCCAGAAAGAATGGCTATCATAAAGAAATCCAACAACAACAAATGTTAGAGAGGCTGCAGGAGGAAAAAAGCCTTCACTGCTGGTAGGAATTTAGCCTGGTGAAACCATTATGGAAATCAGTGTGGAGACTCCTTAAAAAACTAGAACTGGAAATCCCATTCAATTCAGCTATTCCCTCTTCTGGAAATTTTCCCAAAAGGTCTGAAAACATATCATAGTAATATATGTGTGTCCATGTTTATAGCAGAACAATTTGCCATAGCCAATTACAGGAAACAACCAAAATGCCTCTCCCTGGAAAAAGAGATTAAAAAGAAGTGGAATTTTTTTACAATGTATATGACTCAGCTATAAAGAAAAACAAACTCAAAGCCTTCATAGGTAAGTGGATTCAACTTGAGGTAATACTCATAAGTGAATTAAACCAAACCCACATGTGTAAATATTTTATTGTCTCTCTAAGGATTAAAAAAAAAGAGAGAAAAAAAGGATAAAAGTTAGGAAATAAATTAGGGTCAATGCCATACATGTATATATACAAGTTGGATAAGACAATATTCCTCAGAATTTCCATCAGGTTTTTGAAAATGGCAGTTAATGGGTAGAACCCTCACCTTGACTAACTCTCTATAATGATATCTGTGAACTAAGCAACTACATTGAGGACAGCAATACTAAAACCATGCTTGAAATACCTGTCATCTTGGTCTTCTAAATGTGTAACATTTCTAATGTCATATCAATTATTACTGTACTTTTTTAAAGTAATTTTAAAAAGTAATGAGAAGTGAGAGTCAAGAACAAAAATTTAAGGTTTCTTGAAAGCATGTGGTAATATTCAATCATTTGTCCCATCTTATATAACTATATCTGTTAATCTGAGCAACAGATTTAATTATAAAAATAGATAATATATCTATCACTACTAATGAGCTATGCTTGTTTTCAAAATCTAATGTAT